TCCTCCCTCTTTCCTCTTCCCTCTCCTCCCTCCTCCCTTCCCTCCTCCTTTCCCCTCTTCCCTCCTCCCTTCCCTCCCTCCTCCCTTTGCTCCTCCCCCCTCCTCCCTTTCCTCCCTCCTTTCCTTCTTGCTCCCTTCACTCCGTGTCGGCAGGCCTCGTGCGCACCAGGCCCGCGCGGGTCTCGCACTGCGGGACGCCCAGCACTGCAGCCTGAACTCAGGCCCGGGCTGCGTCTCGGAGCTTTTTCCCCCCAAGGCTGGCGCTCTACCGCTTGAGCCACAGCGCCTCCTCTGGCTTTTTTCCTGGCTCCATAGAAATAAGCGTGTGTCAGACTTTCCGACCCAGGCTGGCTTTGAACCCCGATCCTCACGTCTCAGCCTCCAGAGGGACAGAGATGGCAGACACGAGCCACGAGCCAGACACGAGCCAGCTTTTATTTTCTATTATTCTTTTTTTACTTTGTGCCAGGCCTGGGGCTGGAACTCGGGACCTGGCGCTGTCCCTCAGCTGCTTTGGCTCCAGGCTGGCGCTCCACCCCTTGAGCCACAGCGCCACTTCCGGCTTTTTTCTGTGTCTGTGGTGCTGAGGATTGGAACCCAGGGCTTCCTGCGTGCCAGGCGAGCGCTCCACCCCGAGCCGCTGCCCAGCCCAGCATTTCTGCCTTTTTGAGATGCATGCCCCTTAATTTGCCTCAATAGTTTTGTTCTGGTCACTGCCGGGAAACTGAGGAAAAAGGCTTTGTGTCTGTGCCTTCTTTCTGGAGACTTCCAGTAGTGAAGCCAAGAATGGTGTGTGTGTGGGGAGGGGAAATCTCTCCCTGTTACCCTTCTAGAACTTTCTTCTTCCCTTCTGCCTGCAGCAGCCAGGTTTCCATGCATACAGCCCCAGATAACCAGGAGGAGAATCGCAGGTTCTAGGCCAGCCCGGGCTTCATGGAAAGGGAGCTCTGAGGCCATGGCTGAGGCTGTGGCCATTCTCAGACCCTCTTACCTCCGCCGCCCGCTGTGTCCGCCCCCAGCCACGCTCTGGGCTGCGGGAAGGGGCAGCTCTGGCTCCGCTAGACCCCAACAGGGCTGTGGGGTCTGGGTTCGAGGGCCAAGGGGCCGCGGAGCAGGCTGAGACCCAGCCCGGGAGAAGCCAAGCAAGGCAGAGGACAGGAAAGAGAGAGAGTCCATCCAAGCTGGGCGCTGTGGCGCACGCCTGTAATCCCGGCTACTCAGGACGCTGAGATCTGACGCCAAAGGTTCCAAGCCGATCTAGGGAGGAAAGTCCGAGAGACCAGTGGAGCTTGTGGTTCAAGTGGTCAAGCACCAGCCTCCTCCAGCCGGGAAGAAGCTCAGGGACCGCGCTCAGGCCCTGAGTTCGAGACTCAGGATGGAGACCCTCCCCAAACAAACAAACGAACAGACGAAAGCAAACCCATAGGCGCTCTGAGAGATTCTTAGAAGCCTGTCCTCACCTAGAGACCTGGGAGAGGGGGAGGCGCGGGGGGAGGGGGCCCCCCAAACCCCTCTTCTCAGGATTCGCATCTGCCCCTGGACGGTAGGGAAGCTGAGCTGCTGCCCGTGGTCAGCCTCGAATTTGCATGGAGATTTCCTCCCCGCGCAGCGCCGTGGGTTAGGACTCAAACCCCCCACACTGGCGTCCTGGTGTCCTTAGAATGGGTTGGAGAGGGCCGGGCTCTGGTGCACACGCCTGTAATCCCGGCCGTGAGTCCAAGCCCCAGGATGGACACGAAGGGCGCAGAGCGGCCCTGGGGCCCTCCCTGTGGGGAGGGAGGCCAGGCCCCCCCCATCCCTGCGGTTGGAAAATGTCCCCCCCTCTTTCTCCTGAGCCTGGGCTGGGGAAACCTAACTTCTCGCTCCCCGGGGCGCTGTGTGGGTTTTTCCACCACGTGGTTTCCTGTGGGGGTGCCGCTTCCTCCTGGAGGCTGGCAGGGCTCGGCGGAAGGGGGGTCGCAGGCCTCCGACTTCTGCTTTCTGCACGGCACCCCCCAAAAGACTCCCCTGAAGCCTTTTGAACCCGGGGGGGTCTTCCCAGCAGTGACTTCGCCCTGGCCCTTGAAGTTGGGGTGACGGTGGGGGGGCCCGGGGGGGGAGGTCTCCCCATCACCCCCCCAACCCCCCCCCCGGTTCTTCCGCTTCTGTGCTGTGTCTGCCTTGGCCTGGCCGGGGCCTGTACGGTGTAGGGGCGCCGCCCGGCTCTGCTCTCGCACAGGCTGCCCTTGGCCACGCTGGGTTTGGATCTACAGGCAAATTCTACTTAGGGCTTTTTACAATGTTTTTATCGGTGGTGGGGCTTGAACTCGGGGCCTGGGCGCTGGCCCTCAGCTCTTCAGCTCCAGGCTGGCGCTCTACCGCTTGAGCCACGGCACCACTTTTGGCTTTTGGGTGGTTCGTTGGAGATCAGAGTCTCACGGACTTTCCTGCCCCGGCTGGCCTGGAACCACGATCCTCCGATCTCAGCCTCCTGAGTGGCTGGGATGCCAGGCGGGGCCACTGGCACTCGGCCTTTCTGTGGGGGTGAGGGGGGTTCATTGGAACTGACAGTCAAACTTTCCTGCTCGGGCTTGGCTTTGAACCAAAGGCGTAGGACCAGGGTGCAAGGCTTCTCACCCATCTTCTTTGTTTCTGAGAGCTGGGATTCTCCCGCCTCAGCTTCCCGATGATCGGCTTGGATTACAGGCGTGCGCGACCATACTTGGCTCTTTCCCCCACCGCTCAGTATTTGGGTGGAGCAGGGATGTTCCTACCTACGCGGCCCGTGCGCACCCCGGGGGCCATCGAGAGGCCCCGTGGCCGGGTCCTCACCCCCCACGCCGCCTCCCCTAGGTGGTACCACGGCCACCTGTCAGGAGCGCAGGCCGAGGCGCTGCTGCAGGCCAAGGGCGAGCCCTGGACCTTCCTGGTGAGGGAGAGCCTGAGCCAGCCCGGCGACTTCGTGCTGTCCGTGCTCAGCGACCAGCCCAAGGCCGGCCCTGAGTCCCCGATCAGGGTCACGCACATCAAGATCATGTGTCAGGTACCGTGGTGGGGGCGGGGCGGAGGCCGCGGGAGGGAGGATCGCGGCTGGAGGCCCAGGCCTCACGGCGCCCGCCCTGGGCCTCCACCAGGGAGGACGCTACACGGTGGGCGGCGCAGAAACCTTTGACAGCCTGGCGGACCTGGTGGAGCACTTCAAGAAGGTGGGCATCGAGGAAGCCTCGGGAGCCTTCGTGTACCTGCGGCAGGTGAGAGGCCCCGCCCCCTCCTTCCCTCCCTCCCCCCCCAGCCCGGACGCTGTCCCAAGGCTGGCGCTCCACCCGGTTGGCTGGTGGTTCATGGCAGATCGGAGCCTCGACGGACTTTCCCGCCCAGGCTGGCCTTGAGTCCTGAGCCTCCAGATCTGAGCCTCCAGACCTCGGCCTCCTGAGGAGCGGGGATGCCAGGCGGGCGCCCCTGTGCCTGGCCCGGTGGCTGATATCCGGGCCCTGTCCCTCCCCAGCCTTACTACGCCACGCGGGTGAACGCAGCCGACATCGAGAACCGCGTGCTGGAGCTGAACAAAAAGCAGGAGTCGGAGGAGACGGCCAAGGCGGGCTTCTGGGAGGAGTTCGAGGTAGACGGCAGGCGCGGCCACCGGGGGACGGTCACGGGCAGCGCCTTGGCCGGGGCTCGGCCTCACCTCCCCCCCCCCCTTCCTGCTAGAGTCTGCAGAAGCAGGAGGTGAAGAACTTGCACCAGAGACTGGAGGGCCAACGGCCGGAAAATAAGAGCAAGAATCGCTACAAGAACATTCTCCCCTGTGAGTCCTGCGCCCCCCACCCCCACCCCAGCCCCTGGCACCTTCCGGCCACCCCAGCCCCACGGTCACATCAGCCGGGCGCCGGTGCGCACGCCTGTAGTCCCAGCTCCTCAGGGAGGCTGAGATGTGAGGATCGCAGTTGGAAGCCAGCCTGGGGCATCCAAGAGACTCGAGCCAGAAGAAGCTGAGAGGGAGCTGTGGCACCCGCCTGGGGGAAAAAGCTCAGGCCCCAGCAGCCAGGCCCCGAGTTCAAATCTCTATAACGGCACCCAAACCATTAAACTGCCCTGAGAGCTTTCCTACTACCAAGAAGCAAAGGGACCCCGTTCCTCCCCACCCTCCGCCCTCCCTGAGCCTTTTGATTTTGTGCGAGTTTTCGGGACTCGAACCCAGGGCCTGGGCGCTGTGCTTTAGCCCCTTTTTTTTTTTTTGCTCAAGGCTGGCGCTCTACCACTTGAGCCACAGCCCCACTGGCAGTTTTTGGCTGGCTCATTAGAGATCAGAGTCTCACAGACTTTCCCGCCGGGGGCTGGCTTTGAACCGGGATCCTCAGATCTCAGCCTCCTGAGTGGCGGGGATGGCAGGCGTGCGCGCCGAGCCCCGGCCCTCAGCGTGTGTCCTTGGAGACAAGGCTGGGGGCGGGTGGCGGCGCGCTCATGTCGGCCTTCTCGCCCCGGCCAGTCGACCACAGCCGCGTGATCTTGCGGGGAAGGGACAGCAGCGTCCCGGGCTCGGATTACATCAACGCCAACTACGTGAAGGTGGGTGGCTGTGGCCAGAGGCTGGTTGTGAGGGGCCCTGGGGGCTCCCTGTGGTGCAGGGGGGGACCCCAGGTCCACAGGCTTCCCCCCCTTTCCCCGGCCCTGGCATGTCGAGGGGGCTGTGGGAGGGAGGTGCTGTATCCGGAGGTTCACAGTCCGGGGCGCGTGCTGCTGCGATCTCACTTAGAACCAGCTGCTGGGCCCGGACGAGAACGGGAAGACCTACATCGCCAGCCAGGGCTGCCTGGAGGCCACGGTGACCGACTTCTGGCAGATGATCTGGCAGGAGAACACGCGCGTCATCGTCATGACCACGCGGGAGGTGGAGAAAGGCCGGGTAGGGAGAGCGCGCATGCGCGGGCGGTGTATATGTGTGTGTGTGTGTGTGTGTGTGTGTGTGTGTACACGTGTGCAAAAGCCCAGGGCCTCCTGGGAAACTGAGGCCTACCACACACTTTGACTTCCTGTCGGTTGTGGGGCTTGAACTCAGGGCCTGGGCGCTGTCCCTCAGCTCTGCAGCTCAGGGCTGGCGCTCTACCCCTGGAGCCACAGCGCCATTCTGGCTTTTTGCTCGTTCACTGGAGATCACAGTCTCACAGAGACGTTCCCACCCAGGCTGGCCTCGCCCCACGGTCCTCCGCTCTCAGCCTCCGCAGTGGCCGGGAGGCTGGGGCTGGTGAGGCTGGCCTCGATTTGCTTTCCTAGCGGGTCCTGGGCCTTTGTGCCTCAGTGGTACCACTTCCCCTTGCAGAACAAGTGCGTCCCCTACTGGCCGGAGGCGGGCACGCAGCGCGTCTACGGCCTCTACTCCGTGGCCAACTGCGAGGAGCAGGACACGGCTGAGTACAAGCTGCGGACGCTGCGGGTGTCGCCGCTGGACAACGTGAGCCCAGGCCCCGCCCCTTCCGGTCGGCGGCAGGGCGGCTGCGGGGCCCGACGCACTGCCTCGCTCTGTCCTTCCAGGGGGAGCTGGTCCGGGAGATCTGGCACTATCAGTACCTGAGCTGGCCCGACCACGGCGTGCCCAGCGAGCCTGGCGGCGTCCTGAGCTTCCTGGACCAGATCAACCAGCGGCAGGAGAGCCTGCCCCACGCGGGGCCCGTCATCGTTCACTGCAGGTGACCCTCCTACAGCCTCCCCACGGGCCCGTGCCGCTGCGCACGCCTGTCATCCCGGCCGCTCCAGAGGCTGAGATCTGAGGATCGCGGTTCAAAGCCAGCCCGGGCAGGAGAGACCGTGAGACTGTGATCTCCTATGAAGCACCAGAAAACTAGAAGTATAGCCATGGCTCAAGGGGTAGAGCGCTCGCCTTGAGCTGAAGAGCTGAGGGACAGCGCCCAGGCCCTGAGTTCAAGCCCCACGGCTGACACTAAAGAAAAACAAAACAAGCTGAAGCTAAGCGCCGGTGCAGCGTTGAGCTGTGAGGATCTGGGTTGGAAACCAACTGGGAAGAAAAGTCGATGAGAATTTTTTCTTTTCTCTGCCAGTCCTGGGCTTGAACTCTGGGCCTGCGCGCTGGCCCTGAGCTTCTGCTCAAAGCGAGCGCTCTACCACATGAGCCACAGCTCCGCTTCCACCTTTTTGCTGGCTCATTGGAGATCAGAGTCTGCCCCGGCTGGCTTCGAACCTCGATCCTCAGATCTCAGCCTCCTGAGTAGCTGGGATTAAAGGCGTGCGCCCCTGGCCCTGACCCGGGACGATGTGGGTTGAGTCTGGAGGTGCTCCCGTTATGGTTTTGGGGCCAGCATCTTTCCAACCCCCCCTCCTCCCCAGAGACAGGCCGGTCCCCAAGAAGCTGCCCTCCGCACCTCATTCACACATGTCTTACGTCCCCAGCCTTTATTTAGATATGACGGGAAGGAAGTAGGTTATTGTGGTGGCGGGGGGGGGGGGGGTTGACAATCTGGAAAGGAGACATGGAGACATCTTGACTCAGGCCCCGCCTCCCAGGTGTGCCCAAAGGTGAGTGAGGAGAGCGGTGGTGGAGAGTTGGGGAGCAGACACCCCGCTGCTCTGCCCCTGTAGGCCTTGGGGGCCCCCACCCCTGGCTGTCCGAGGCTTCAGACTCTCGCTTGGTCACAGGGATGGAACAAAAAGGGGAACGCAAGTCCTGCAGAAGGAAGCTTGAGATGCAGCCGGGCACGGCAGCTCACGCCTGTAATCCCGGCTGCTCGAGGCTGAGGCTGAGCAGGGCAGTTTAAAGCCAGCCCCGGGGAGAGAAGTGTGTGAGACTCTTATCTGTGATGAACCACACACACACACACACATGCACGCACACACACGCACACATGCACACACGTGAGCCACAGCGCCACTTCTGGTTTTCTGGTGGTTCCTGGGAAATCAGAGTCTCACGGCCTTTCCTGCCCGGCCTGGCCTCCATCCGCCATCCTCAGACCTCAGCCTCCCGAGTGGCCGGGCTGACAGGCGGGGGCGCCGGTGCCCAGCCTGGGTGTCTCCGATTTCATCCTGGCCTGGCAGGGTCCCCGGGGGAGGGTGGGGGTGCGGCCGGCCCTCTGATGAGGGGCGGGGCTTCCTCTGCACGCAGCGCTGGCATTGGCCGAACTGGCACAATCATCGTCATCGACATGCTGATGGAGAGCATCACCACCAAGGGTGAGGCTGGGGGAGGGAAGGGGGAGGGAAGGGGGGAGGGCCCACGGCCTGGGCCTGAGCTCCCCCTCCCCCACCCGCCTGCCCCTCCCCAGGGCTGGACTGTGACATCGACATCCAGAAGACCATTCAGATGGTGCGCGCGCAGCGCTCGGGCATGGTGCAGACCGAGGCCCAGTACAAGTTCATCTATGTGGCCATCGCGCAGTTCATCGACACCACCAAGAAGAAGCTGGAGGTGATCCAGGTGCGTGGCCGTGGGCGCCCGGTGGGGCTCGGGGCAGGGCCGGGCTCCCCCCCCCTTGCCGGTCCCCCCTGTTATCCCCCCACTTTCCCTCCAACCGCACACAGTCCCGCAAAGGCCTGGAGTCGGAATATGGGAACATCACCTACCCGCCCGCCATGAAAAGCGCCCACACCACCGCCTCGCGCACCTCCTCCAGGTGAGCCCCCCCTTCCCCTCCCTGCCCCCCGACCTCGCCAGCCTGGCCCTGCGCTTAGGACAGGAGCCGTGATTTCAGGTGGGCAGATGTGGGTTCACGTTCAAGCTCAGTTCTGTGGCAGTGTTTTCGGGCATGTCCTGGGACTCGAACTCAGGGCCTGGGCGCCATCCCTGAGCTCTTCTGCTCAAGGCTGGTGCTCTGCCACTGAGCCACGCCTCCACTTCCAGCTTTTTGTTGGTTGATCGGAGAGAAGAGTCTCATAGACAAGCCGTGCTGTGGCTTAAGTGGTCCAGCGCCAGCCTCGGGCCAAAGAAGCTCAGAGACGGCGCCCAGGCCCTGAGTTCGAGCCCTAGGACTGGCAAAAGAAAAAGTCTCACAGAAGCCGGGTGCTGTGGGTCACGCCTGTAATCCCCGCTACTCAGATTGCAGCCCAGAGCCAGCCCAGGCAGGAAAGTCCATGAGACTCTTACCTCCCATGGTGCTGTGGCTCAAGTGGTAGAGCGCCAGCCTTGAGCTGAAGAGCTGAGGGACAGCGCCCAGGCCCTGAGTTCAAGACCCAGGCCCACAAAACAAATAAATAAGCAAAAAAAAGGGTAAAAAAGCAGAAACAGCAACGAGAAGTGGAGATATGGCTTCAGTGATTGAATGTCAGCCTTCAAGTAAGCTAGGGGGCAAGGCCCTGAGTTCAAACCTCAGTCCAGCACACGCGCGCGCGCGCGCGCACGCACACACACACACACACACACACTGCGTTTTTTCAGTTGCCTGTTTTATTGTTTGTTTTGTGGTCAGTTGTGGGGCTTGAACTCGAGGCCTGAGCTCTTTTTGCTCAAGGCCGGCGCTCTACCACTTGAGCCACAGCACCACTTCTGGTTTTCTGGTGGCTCCTGGGAGACGAGAGTCTCGCGGACTTTCCTGCCCGGGCTGGCCTTGCATTGCGATCCTCCAGCCTCAGCCTCCTGAGTGGCTGGGATGACAGGCGTGCACCCCGGCACCCGGCTTCTGATGCCTCTTACCACCCCGCCTCCCGCAGACACAGGGAAGATGTGTACGAGAACCTGGACCGGAAGACGAAGAAGGAGGAGAAAATGAAGAAGCAGCGGTCAGCCGACAAGGAGAAGAGCAAGGGGTCTCTCAAGAGGAAGTGAGCCGCGCGCACTTCCTGTGGCCACGGTACTGATCCGTCTCCGCCATCTCCTCCCTGCCCGACCCTCGCTGCTGGGCTGGGGTGGGGGGAGATGCAGGAAGGGCTCACAGACTTCCCCCAGCCTTCCAGAATGTTCTGGAAGCCCCTCTCTCACCCCTCACCCCTTCTTTTCTCTCCACAGCCCCCAGGCCCGTTCCCTGTCAGCCCTGAAGAGGCCCAAGCTGGAAGCTGGGGACCCTCTGGCCCATCTGATTGTAATTTAAATCACTGTGCCCCCCAAATTTGTACATAGAGCTCACCAAGGCCCCAGGCAGGGCCCCCCTCTTCTTCTTGTAAATAAAGACCCCTGTGTGGCCCCTTGAACTGGCTCTGCGCTGTCCCCAGTGAATGTGGAAGAAAGGGGAGGGGGGAGGAGGGGGGGAGGGTGGGGAGGCTGGGGTCCCCTGTGTGGCCACAATCAAGCTCACAAGCGGCTGGGCCCCAGTGGCTCACGCCTGTCATCCCAGCTACTCAGGAGGCTGAGATCTGAGGATCGTGGTTCAAGGCCAGCCCGGGCAGGAAAGGCCGTGAGCCTCTGGTCTCCAGGGAGCAGCTCAAGGCACAGTGCTACACAACCAAGGAATGAATGAATGAATGAATGAATGAGCCAACAACTCAAGAGTAGACAGACCTGGTTCCAGTGCTACTTTGCATAGGCAAATGATGGCAAAATCCGTCAACCCAGCAGCCTGCCTCCGCCTCCCCCTCTCCCTCCCTCCCTCCCTCCCCCCCCCTCACTCTTCTGATTCTGGCCAAACCTAGGGCCTCGTGGATGCCAGCCCTCCCTCCACTCTGCCCGAGCCGAGCTGCATCTGCAGCCCCATACCCTCCCTCTGCCTTTGGCTCCTGCCTGGCGCTCCACCACTTGAGCCACGCCCCCATCCTGGCTTTTTGCCGATTCCCTGGAGGTGCCAGTCACCTGGCTCGGATCTGGGTCCCCAGCTGTCGGCCTCCCGAGGGGCTCACCGCGACCCCAGCGCCCAGCCTCGCAGCTCCTGCCTGTAACCCAGGCCTTCCCGCCTCACCTCTGAGATCTAGGAATTAGGACCAGTTTTAGAGGCGGCTGAGCGAGGCCACAGCGCACCGGGGCCCCCACTCGCCCCAACTCTGGGCTGACGGAGGCCAGGGAGCCCCGAGTCAGAACTGACGGGCGCCGTCCCTCAGCGCTTCCGCTCGAGGCGGGCGCTCCACCCCTTGGGCCACAGCGCCACTTCCGGCTTTTTCTGCTTCTGTGGTGCTGAGGACTCGAACCCAGGGCCTCACGCATGCGGGGCGAGCGCTCCACCACGGAGCCACCTGCCCCTCACATACATATATAATATTATAATACATATGTGTGGATGTAAAACACTAGTGTTTTGGGGTCCCGGTACCTGGGGGCCTGGAGGGGGGTCTGGGAGGAAGAACCCCCATCCCCCCGCCATCACCCATTGCGGGGGTGCGTGGAGCGGGGGCGGCGCTGGGCGCTCCCGGGCCCTGGGGGGGGTGGACTGGGGGGGTCGGGGCGGGGCTGGGGGGGTGTGTGCGCACCTGCCCCGCCTTCTCCCAGCGGGGACGCGGAGCGCAGGACGGGGCCCGGAAGGGGGGTCTCGAGGCCGGCCTTCTGCTTTCAGCCGGTCCCGGGCCGGGTGTGACCCCTGCGCGACCCCAGGCCGGCCTGGGCTGGGTCTGGGAGGCTGTGGAGCCCGGGCCGGCTCGCGGGGCGGGGCG